TTCCTGTTTTACCCCCTCATGGGCCATGCTTAGTGCCTCTTCGTGGTCGTACCAGGTTGAGAGTGACATACTGAATGGCATGTTGAGCATTTCACACAGCTTGGCAATTCCCACTTTTCCAACTCCCATCTCAAATGCACCATACACTATTCATCGATTCAGATCTTTGCCTTGAATTGTCCTTGGAGTGGTATTTTTGGAGGGGTGATCATCAGTGGCAAGGAACTCTGTCATGCCATAGTCACTCTTGACAAAGATTGATGTGCTCATCCCCATTCTGTTTACAGTGCTCTCTAATACTTCAGCTTTACCTACATGAGAAATTAAAGGAAACAATCTATTAATTTTCTAGTTTAAATCCAGATAAATCAGTGGATCATGGATTTGGTTTCATATTTCCCGGCATAATAAGTTACACTGTGAAAAAACTTCAACAGGCTCTCCTAAGGCACATGGTCCATGAGTATGTATTCTGTTTACAAACTTCCTGAGACTTTCCATTGATACCAGGCGATATCCTTGAGCAAATTTCAAGTCATCTGATACACTTTCGTCAGAAGAAGAGGTATCAACTGCATAAGCGCCAAATTTTCGCGAAGAAACCGGGATTGCTGGCAATGGAATCATTTCGGTAACAACATCATCTTCGCCGACGAACGTGACATTTACAGTTTGTTCTCTCGCTGCGCTGGTCACTCTTTTCGCTTGCTTTTGAACACCTTTGAACCCTTAAAGGGTTAACGCTTTAATGAAGCACCTTTCTTTAAAACAGAATGTTTTTTCTCCAGCTTCGGCATAATTTACCACGTTAAGGATGGAATTTATAAACTGTGAACTGATACACATGGATCAAATGTGTGGACTCAGCTAGAGTTTATTGTAACTCCTCGTAGCTGTGTATCCAGGCCTAAGAAATAAATTGAAAGAATTTGGAAGGAACTATGGGATTTTTGGGAACTCAGGAACGTGGAAGAGAATGTTCCCTTTCACATTTAAGCCTTGAAAATTCGGTTGTTTTGAACTGGTTACCATGGCAACGGAAAAACAACCTTCAAAACAACACCGTTTTTTGAATTTTAAAAACAAACAACATTTTCAAAATCTAAATAGATTCAAGTAAATATTTTTCAAAAAAAAAATTGGGGCGAAAAATGTTTCAATCTTACCAAATTTCGACCAGAGGGCCCCTCAAAGAGTACATACTTCCCGGCAGGTCAGCATCAATCAACATGCACATTAAACCTCCACCGGTATCAATCCAGCACTCGGACAAACTCAAACGGCCTAATTAATTTAATTTGATGCCGACTTCTCTACAAAAGAAATAAACGTGGTTAACTGTTTTTAAACTATGCAGATATTTTAAGGAACGACATTTTCAAGAAAGTCGAATATATTTATTAGTTGAGAATAAGCTGCGGGCAATTTTTTAACTCAACACTGATCTGCACATGACTGCGCGTTGTATATTTGCATATCTGAACTTATTGACACTTTAATTTCAGAGATGTAGGCAATTAAAATTAACTCCAATTCTTAAATCGCGAAGATGCGTCTTGAAGGTATTTTCTCCAACCTCTAAGTACTTTTTAGGACTAAGTTTGTATTATTTTAAACATTTTTTCGTTTTTGAATATCAGACTTTCATATTTGTTAGGCACATGAAAGTTGGCATAATTTTCGACGCTTTGCGAATCTTGACATTATACTAAACATAAACAAAGTGGCTGGAGATGAATTAGCAGACCAGTAATGCCTAATGGGTGTTTTTTTTCTATCCCGTCTCTCTGTGCGAATTTCAAGTATATTAGCTGTCACATTTAGCACAAAAATCTATAAACGTAGTGGACTATCCCCTTTGAAAAATTCAGGTTGCTAGTGCTTAATCCCAAAAACCAGACCATATTTTTCTCTGACTAGCAATAACCATCAATATATAGCTGTATGTCTGCGTCAGTAATGGCATACAACCATTTCAAGGATGAATGAGTTAAGACATTTCTTTGGGCAGTTGTTTGAAATTTTTTTGTGAGACATGATTAGCTTACGCGAAAACAAGTAGACAGACATGGAGAACTTGCCCTAAAAACCAATTAAAAACTAAACTAAGGTCAGACTAAAAGAGTGCATGATTTTTCGCGATCGAAGTCATAAAAAAGCCTATCTCGAACCGTTTGTATTTCCTATACTCAGACCGTAATGATTCGATTTAGGGCCCGGGCCCTTATTTACTTTTGGTACCTCAGGGGAGGGCGTTTAATCGAAACAGGGCGTTCATTTTTTTTTTCTTGAGAAACAGCAGAAAACGGACTTGTAGTCCTTTGATCCTTCCTGGCTAGAACGGCCAGATAAGTAATTAATCGCCTTCAGACGAGATCATTCATTTGAGGAAACTGTGCATTCACGTGGACATTTAAGTTGCGAAACTGAGACGGGGCCTATGTTCTTGTAGTGAGACTTGGTAAGTAATTTTGAAAAGGAAAAATGAACCACGAGTTGAACTTAAGGTGGTACAACCCTCAAAAAATCAACATTTTTTCATATGTAGTTTTACAAAAAGTTATCTATGTCACCTGAAATGACACATGGAGACAACTATATTTTTGCAGTTTTTGACTTGATATTTTACTATTGCTGCTGAGAATTAGCAAATGATGCCTCCCAGTAGGCACCCGAACAAGAACAGTCATATCTCTTAAACATTAGATTAAAAATTCACAAAATTTTTAGACAATGATCTTCACATGCACCTGCATGCAATGAAGTACCAAAACACCTCTCAGTCATATAGAATGGAAAATATTAAAGAAAACACAACAACTTTCAGGAATTGATAAGATAAGCAATCTTATTTTGGTCATTTAACAACAAAAGATGCACCTAAGTACATGTTTTTAGTTCATTGCATGCAAAAATATACAGAGATCTCTCACTCCAAAAATGAGAAGAATTGAATAAAACCCTGGAAAGTTATCTTTGTTAGCGTGTCGGTAGTTTCCCAAAATTCAAAATTGAGAGAAAACTGGTTTAAAGTTTCTAAACTGATTTTTTCAAGACTTAAACACAGTTTCCATGAATTGAACTGTTCAAAACTGACCAAGGCCATAGCTGACACCTTCAGTTTGCTTATTATGATCATCTTTTCGTTTTTTAAGGCCCCTAATCACTTTATATCGCTTCTTGGTAGTAGCTTTGCTTTTATGTTGTGCAATATTAACTCTAAGCTGGTCTTGGAGTCTGAAACCCATCCTTGGTATATTTGCCAGGAGGAATACCAAGGGCTTGGAAAAGCTTAATTATACTAATTGAACCATATTAAAATAAGAAACAGCATCATAAAGTCCTAATTCCAATGTCTCTCTTCCAACATAAATTTATTTTGGAATCCTTTGCCATGTAAGCGTCTTGCCATGTAAGCACTTCTGCAGGAAGTTGTTCTCACTAAGTCGAATATATTCAGGCTTTAGCTTGGCAATAACAGGTAAAGAAAGGCCAGGTCCATGCTTAAAGAGATTTGTATGGTTGGCTTTGTCCTTTTGATACTTGCACCAACTTGCATTACCTGTTGGGCAGTGGTCATGAAGTGGGCATGCCTCACTTGAGGCACAATGCATGAGGCTAGCATGGATAGCTTTCTTCATTCCAGCCAAATTTCCAACATTGAACCTTATGGCAATGCCATAATAGTTCTGCAGTTTATCAATTAGATTGTCTGTGAGTTTCCCTTTGCCTCCAAGGCCTGGATTGTCACGCTTTAATTTGCGAAGTGCAGTTCCAACCCTCTTCTGCACGTGACCGATGCATTCTTTCTTTTCCACTAAAATTCCAGCATCTTGATAAATATTCTTTATCCTGGAGAAACTCTTGCTGTCCCCATCCCCATAAAATTCAGTGTACCTGAGATTGTGCAGCTCAACAGACTTTTGATATAGTTGATTGAAGCTTTCGATACGAAGCCGAAGATTCCTTCGCTTCGCTCTGACCATGTGAAATGCCATCTGTGGATTCACGTATCCCACTCGAAGTGCTTTCGACAGCAATCGACTCTTCTTCGTTAATTCTTGAACTATTTGTAAAGCGATTTCTATAAAATTTACGCTTCTCACGTCTCTGAGACAAAAATTTCGCCATTTTGATGATTGAAGCTCTCTCACTTGCGAAAATTCCTAACTGAATGATTGATAATAACGGCCGTTCACCGAAACATATCAAAACGAGGCTGAAAGCCATTGTTGGGCCCCAGTCTCCCAATAGATTACTCAAGATGCAATCAGTTTGCTTGGACCTGGGTGGAAATCGCACTTTTAGGCCCTAAAAGGACGCATTTAAAAATACGTT